TTAATTAATTTATATAATTATTAAAAGAATATTAATACCTTATTAATTAATAATAATATAAAATTAATTAATTTATATACACACACATCTATAATACTAATAAATAAGTAACTCTGGAGACACGTGTCACGTTTCTATGCGACGGTTGTTGATTTTTCCCGTCTAAAACACAATTTTCACTTACGGCCCCCAGACTTACAACATAACTCTGGAAAAATTCACGTCTGAATTTAACTCTGGAGTGGTTATCAAAACCGGGTTCAAAATTTCAAATTCGCATTTTTGAAGCATTTTTAACAAAGCAATATTACCCGGGAAAAAAATTCCAAGCTGAACATGTACTCTTAGTACTTAATTAATTAATAATAATGTGAATTTAATTAATTTATATAGTTATTAAAAGGATATTAATACCTTATTAATTAATAATAACATAAAAATTGATTACCGTGTAATCGACCCCAGCCAGGGGCTGCCGCCCCTTGGACCCCGCCACTCGGGGGCGCTGCCCTCGGATCCCTTCTATTAGGGTTTTCGTCCCTAAATCAAAATAAACTCAAACAAGTGTGCACTTCGCACCTGTGTTACATGTTCAATATTTATCATGATTACATTAGTCAACAATTTAATCTCATTACACTTAAATGACATTAGTAATACAAATCATCAACATGAAGTCGTCAGATATTGGTTATTTTTCAGATTTACAACATAACTCTGAATTGTTCTGTTCCAAACTTAGTTATATAGTTTATTCTCAGACTTAGAATACAACTCTAAACTCCTCTTCAGAGTTACGTTTATGAGTTATAAGAAATCAAAATTCTTGTGAATCAAAGTTATGCTCGTAGATACTTTCTAGACTTAGAAGACAACTTTGAATTCCTCTTATTCAGAGTTAAGTCCAGAGTTATTTTCCAGTCTAACAATAAAATTCCGAATTCTTGTGTTTCAGAGTTTTCTTTCGGAGTTAATGTCCAAAGTTTTTCTCATTTAATAAGAGCCAAGGATGATCATTATCAAAAGTTGGTTTATTTCTAAGACAACGGAAAAATTATACAAACCTGTAGCATTGGTTAATTTTAGCAATTAACTCTTGAAAACAACTTCACACTTGTAGCCAGATTGGTCGTCTTGATTTAGAAGTCTTGCAAAGCTAGATATTGTCCGTCGTGAACTCTGGAGGATTTCTTAGCCCTTGTGTTTGTCAAGCCTGATTCTGTTCTTCATACAGATCTTAACAGAGGTTCTGCACGTGCTATGCGGTCAATCTGAACCAGACTTCGTGTTTCATGCAGAGCTGCACAGAGGTTCTGCATTTAAGTCTTGAGAAAGAGCTCTGTCTCTTCACGTAATGCGTCGAGGCTCTGTCTCTTACTCCGAAGATGGCCTTCAAACTTGTAACTCTGAATAGTTTCCGTCTTAATCTCTGGAAACTTTCTTTACGCTTGTGTCCTTGAAGCCTGATTTCGTTCTTCATACAGAGCTTAACAGAGGTACAACAGGTGCTACAGGGTCATTCTGACCCTGCCTCCGTCCTTCACACAGAGCTTCATAAAGGCTCTGTACTTGTCTTGAGTAAGAGTTCTATCTCTGCATGTACTACCCAGAGCCTCTGATTCTCTTTGCTTGTCTCATACAAAGGTATACAAAGGCTCTGCATGTACTACGCAGCGCTGCATATTGGATCTACATTGTTCGTCTTCATTTAGAAGTTTTTCTGATCACCGAAGCACATGCTGTCCTTTGTATATGTAACATTTAATTCTCGAGTAAGAGCATCTTTATATCAAAAATTTAATCGGACTTGTACTTTGTCTAAGTTTATAAATTACCTCCGATTATTAATTCTTCATAAAATACATATCAGTTTCGTTTAATTTTTGTCATTAACCCGTGTAATACACGGGTCCAAACCTAGTATATATATAGTATAACAAAGACAAAAAAATTGTAAATATGTTAACTTGAAAGTTGGGACAAATGGACCATATACTACATGTATAGTAAAGGACCACACTTCTCTCTTTTTTTTTATCATTAAACTTTATGAATTCTAAATAAAAGAATTTTTCATGTATATATTTTATTACATTAATATTCATTATATTATATTATTTTACTTAAATTCCATAATTAAACCCTCATATTAATTCTCACAATCATATTGCAAGGATAACACCTTAGATATGAATCAAATCAATCAACAACAAATAAAAATTGATTACCATGTAATTGAAAAGAATGAAAAGTTGGTTTAAAAACCGGTTCATTAAAGGAAAGTGGGGCCTAACCTTAGGATGGAGTTGAAGGTACGCAGAGCCGAAAGGGTCTTATATCACTCACCTATTATTTGTCCTCGAGCTATCTCCCTAATAAACGATACGTGTCCTTTTAAGCCCAAAACACTTGTGAGACGAAAGGCTTGCTACAAAGGCACATAATTCTGGAAAGCTGGTAAGAGATGGATCTAGAACACGTTTTAAGCGATAGCACAATAGTACATAACGAAGAAAAATAGTAATACTGTTAAGGATCTTACAGAAACTTATATTATACAAGAATAATTGTGGCACAGAACCCAACTGAGAAACACATAATAGATTTGTTTTCTTTATTGGATTGGTTTGACTGAATCCGCTTTTGAACCTTGTGCAAAGAACGGAGAATTTTCTTAGATACAATTTTGCCACATCTTTTTTGGGTTGAGTGTTTAAGTTGGTGAAATTTGGTTCACATAATGTCAATCCACTCGGTTGAATTCCTACTAGATTGGTTCGTATGCATGGATTCGTGAATATAATCAATGTATGTGTACATATGATCCAAATGCGAGCCCGATTAAGGAAGAAAAACTAGTCCTTCGATTCTCGGTCCACCAAGCAGTAATCGATGTAACCAAACCCGTTTTAAGAAAATCATATTTCATTCTGTTTTCCTCCATTTTTTCCTACAAATTCTACTACAATTATGTTTTCCCATTTCATCTTTCACGTCATTTTCGTCTTAGAGATCTGTTTACCCAAATGCTTACCCGGTAAATGCTTACCGATAGAAATCAACATTATAATTCATCTTGATGCATAAAATTTTAGTATATCAAAACATATCAAATGCAACAATTTACTGAATAAAAGTCGATATCCTCACTTACTGGATAAGACTCTCCATCATTTCTCGATTTAGTAAACAAATTATTCTACAAATTTAAAATGGTAGTTGTTGGAATACAATTGAAAGATTGATTTTGTTATATTGGTCTACAATTTTCATTTTGCTTCATTCTAAATCCTCATTTAGTTAAATATTTGACATGAATTTGATCAATATGTACTTCAATTGAGAAGTTCTAATTCATGGTTTCAACAACAAATATTTTGATTAACGAGTTCCCATATGGGAAGGAAAACAAAGTTATTTCTATGTGGATATTTTTATCGATGTTTTTTTACAGATATAAATATTTATACACAAATACTCAGACTTATTATTACGATTTTACAAGGCATTATTTTGCTTACTGAAAACGGGGATAGAAGACCTGGGTCCAGATCCGTAAAGATCTGTGCTTGTACATCTCTTAGGCCGAGTAGCGTAAGTAATTAAGAACCCTCTCATGAGTGGTGGCACTACTAGGACCCATGAAGGTTCACGGGTCAAAATTGGGGCTGGGCAGGTCCACGAGTCGAAAGTACTTCTGCATTCCTTTGATGGCAATGCAAAAGCACAAAAAGGGTACTAGTGTTGCTGGAAATACATCATCAGTTTGAAATGAAGTTCGACTCACGGACCTGTCCTACACAATTTAGACCACCATGGGTCCCACCAGCCCAGCCAATCATAAGAAGTTGTCAGTTAGTTACGCTTCTCGGCCTAAGAGATGCGCAAGCCTGGATTCAGGAAGCAAAAATCATAGCAACTTTTAAACAAATACATCTTTAAGAATGTAACAAAATTTGTATTTGGTCAAAACATTATGCATTTCAGATTAAGACCAATTTGGTTGATTATACAGGGTACAGAATCTGGATTATGGATCTTAAGGAGACGGGAAAAAGCTTACTTCTGGGAATGGAATTTGATGACTGAAACCTCTTGAGATCTAACCTGCAGATAACTGAAATTTAACTTCATAACATCCTTTCTTATTCTAACCAATTTGTAATTCCTTTGTCCCAATTATGAGATGGAGAAATTCATTACACTTGCTAAGGGTAAAATTGTCATTTAAGGGCTGTTACCAAACACTTACCAGGTAAGTGCTTACTGGATGTCACTTATCTTACTAAGTTAGCATAGCAAAGACAAAATCTTATCCAGTAAGTGTGGGAAAAGACTCATGGGAAAGTTTACAATACGCTTATTGGGTAGGCGCTTACTGGCAAGAGTTATCACTCTCACTTACCTAATCGGGTAACATTATTAGCCATTAAAATGGATTGTGATAAAAGGTTACAAGGTAAAGAGTCTTTTCCCCCACTTACAGAGTAAGATTCTCGGTGCTTGCTATGCCTCTTACCAGGTAAGATTCTTGGTCTTCGCTAGGTTCACTGGTAAGGTAAGTGACACCCGGTAAGCACTTACCCGGTGAGAGTTTGGTAAACTTCCCCTTCTCGGTGAGCACTGACCAAGTAGTAAAAGACGTTTACCAACAATCCATTTTGATGAATGAGAATGCTACCAAAAGGGTAAGTGATGGTGGTGACTCTTGCCGGTAAGCACTTACCCAGTAAGCGACTGATAAATGACCCAAAGAGGCAATGATTACACATTTCTAAAACTGTGTGCATTAGATTTATCTTTGGACGGAGAGAGTACACTAGAATTTGAACAAAAGGATAACCTGATAAGCTAAACTATTATCAGCTGATACCCGAGGAGGATGTTCATATACAAAGTGCGCCCATATCAGGAGAACCTCCATCAGAACCATGTGAAACTGTCGAATTTGTTGATCCACCTTTCTTGCCCTGCTTCTTATCTTTTCTACTCTTTCCATAGTCAACCGTGTTGTAGCTGAAATCATTTATCATGGCAAAATCAGAAATTTAAATCATCTGCTATTTTCTGTGATAAGAAATACATGCTTCTGAAACAAAGTTTACCACAACCACATACATAAGCTACTGATTAGATTTATTGACTAAGGGGATTTTTGGTTGATTCTCCATTAAGTCATGTATGGACAAAGCTAACTGTGTGGATTAATTAGTCTGTATAGATTGTGAGGGTTTTTGTTTGAGAGAGTCTTCCCATAAATGGAATGAGTGTTTTTTAATTGAGAGAGACAGGTTTGGAAAAAACTTGTCTTTCTACATAAAGCTCCCCCTAAAAGCTTATCGAATAAGTCACTTTTTATATCTTTAAGCTGCTACCAAACAGTCGTATATAGCGGACCGAATAAGTTGCGAGTCCCATTAAGCCCATTAAGTAGTTAACAAACAGACCCTAAGGGTTGTTTACTACCTCCTTACCACCTCTTACCTTACCTGGTTATAGATGCTGCTGTTTACCAAGCCTCTCATACTGGTCCATGATGTTGACCAAGATGCTGACCGGGTAAGCTACGGGAGGGACCTCGGTCAGTAGTGCTGACCCAGACCGCACTCTTATCCGGTTAACGCCTACCCAATTTGTGTTGGTAAATGGCCCCCAAAGTATCAAATAAAAACATACTTTCAACATGTTCTCTATTCAATGTATGAGGCTCTGAAAGTCGTGTGTGTGTGTGTGTTTGATTGGTGGAAAGAAAGGGCAGAATGAGGTTAAAACACCTTGCAAAGACCGAAGAGGGTGTGTTACCACTCGAAAGAATGGTTGATGACTAAACACAACTATTTATGTTAACTATCTATACACCAAGCTACAGGCAAATTCTAGAGTGCACAATTAACTTCAAACTAATAGGCCGTTTACCAAATGCTTACCAAGTTACAATTACCTTACTGGATGAATATGGTTGGACAGAGAATCTTACCCAATAAGATTGATGGCAATGATCGAGAGTATTGCCCGGTAAGTGAGGGTGACGACTCTTACCCGGTCAGCGTTTACCAGGTAAATTGTTGCATACGATGTCGTTTTGATGGACTAAAATCTTATCCAGTTAGCCAAGTGATAGTGTTGGATCTTACTGTAAGCACTTACCAGCTAAGTGTTTAGGTAAACGGCCCCTAAGAGTTAAAGTTACCCTTCTACCTTTTTTTCCTTAGTAACTATGGGTGTCCGGGCCAGATTGAGCGTACTTCGACTAATCCCATGGGGCCCTAAAGATAACAATCATGAAAATCAACAGTGGCCCCGAGGAAACTCGAACTAGTGACCTATGGAGAGAAGCCCCAAGGCCAAGCCTTTATTTACCAGTTGAACTGGCCCTCAAGTTGCCCATCTACCTTTACAAACAGCACTATGGATTGCTGTTGAAATTAACTCGAATCTGTTTGAAACCCACCTTTGCATGTCCATTGAAATACCAAAGAAAAATGACAAAAAAGAAACTGGAAAGAACATATAAATTAACCAATTGAGCACGTAAGCATTTTTGAAGATTGTTAATAAAAAAAACTAATAGTGTCTATATTATCTATACATACACTGCAACAGTAGATAATCTTCCTGCAGCTGTACCACAACAAGACTTGTATTTCTTCTTTGAACCACATGGACAAGCCTTGTTTCTGGGTATTTTCTGCAGAAAATAAAAATATAAATATAAATGTTTGAATAAAGAACAGAGCTCTTAAGAGCAGATTTCACTACAGCATACGATAATATATTTGCAAAACCTTTTCATCAGGTAATGAGTTGGTCTTATCATTTCCTCTTTCAGAGTTGCTGCACGCGTGTTTCTCCTTGATAGTTTTGTTGTCAATCTTCTCACTGCACTGCTCACTCTTCTCAAGGTGGTTGTTACTAGAATGCTCTAGAGTAGGCAAAAATAAGACAAATCGACACAATATATATGTTATTTTAACTGATGAAGCCAATGCGACAGTGAATAGTAACTAGTAACAAGCAATTCATGGCCCACCAATCTATCCAAACCAAGTTAACATATGGTTGAGAGAAAACAACTTTCATAAATAATCAAGAAACTGAGAGAAGATATTAGTCAAGAATAAGGGGAACTATTTGCCATCAGCTACAATAATGGCTGTCAAAATCCAACAAATTCGACCAAAGGGTCATTGGCCCAGCAGTCTCGGATTATTGGTAGATCCCAACCTCCTCTGAGGTCAAGGTTTCAAGCAGAGTGTGTGTACCATATATGAATATTATGTTATTAAAAAAACTTAACAATTCACAATTTGGATCTTACAAGTCGATTTGATTTATGAAACAATTGATGTGCATCCTGTTAACAAATGAAATTTACAGTATTCTTACCTTGTTTATGTTGTTTTAGTGATTTTCTATTCACATGAAACTTAATTTGCAGCCACATGAAGAGAAATTTTTTGTTGTATTTGGTGAAGAAAGAACGACTAATGGAGCAAAAACAATGCTTTCATGACTAATATAAGTATATTTTGGTTTCTAAATCACAAAAAAAATGTTTTTTGTGTTATATATGTATACACACACATTACTTAAAAAAATTCAGGAAATGATGAAGCTTGTCGATGATTCAATTTGATTCACAATTCACAAAATCTGTACAGCCATTCTTGATTTGATTTGCAAATTGACAACGATGATCATCATCAATAGGCATCCCTTCAGTTGGCATAAATTAGAAAACAAAAATAAATATATAGAGTTCAAGAGAATGATTGCTCTGAAGAACCCAATAAATATAGCCAGCATATGAAAAAATGTACTAACCGGTCATTATCATTACCATGAGAAGTGTCCACTGGAAAAGTAACTCTATCGTTTTCAACCAAGTATTCTTCAGTTCCTTGGTCTGCTATGATAAACTCTATTGCAGCATCTACATCTCCATCCACTTGTAATAATACCTAAGATAAAGTCAGAGATAAGCTAGAATAGTTTTCTAACAAAAGACTGAAGTTCACTTGTTCGGAGCAAAAAAACAGCTCATCAACTATAGACAACAGCTTCCCCACAATACATGAAGAAAACAAAAAATGAACATAAATTTCTACCTGTTGAATTTTTTCGTCGTCTTCACATCCACTTCCAATCTTGACAGTTTTAATTGATTCTGGCGGGATATCAGTCTTACCAGAACTGCTTTTGGCCTTGGCAACAGCAGCATTTGCTTGATGGGACTTCACTGAAAGATCAGCATCGGCCTTTTCAAATAACTAAAGGTTATTACTTTTCTATAAACAGTTCAATGTGTCTTGCAATTAGAATCTCCAAATAGCATAACTGTGAGAAGCAAAAATGGATATAATCCTAAATAGCTATGATGACAGCAAAAAACCTTAATTATGATTGGCCTGGTTGGTCCATTACATGTGTCTTCCTTTAATCGCACGCTATTGTAATGCTCCCAGTCATGGTAAGACCTGCAATAAGTGTGAAGACCTTAATCCATGTGAAAACCACTCGATTCCAACTCAAACCAGTTGCAATACATAGCCTGAAATCATATATACTCATCATATAAGTTGTATTTTGCCGATTTTGAATGACTAGCCTCAACATGCACCCTCACATTTATGTCAAGGCTTGCATGTTTGACAAATCATCCAGGGTGTGGATGTGCATGTGAGCTATTGAACCTGCATTTCTGAATAAAGTAGGCTTTGAAAATGATACCCCATGTTTAACATCTTGGGTTTCAGCTCAAAACCAATCAGCTGCGAGTAGAGTGACCGAAGGTCATATATACTCATTAAACAAATCGCTATTTCCTTGGGATCACAAGTCTAAACAAACAATGAATATCACTAAAGCATACAACAATAAACCATGATAATCTAACACAGAAAAATGAAAGACTTCCATTCCAAACTAGTTGATGTAGGCCAACTACATGACTGTCAAACATGGTAATGTTGTGAACCCACCTAAAACACTTGAAACATGAGCTATATTCTGATTTGTTGAATCTCTTTCAGTATCTCCTTGCTATGTTCTGCATTTACGAATTCCCTCTCGAGGCTCTCTAGGTACAAGTCTTGCCAAGAATGTGTGTTATGTATGAGATTAAAGCAAAGTTAAACTGTGACTTACAGCTAGGTGACTAGAAGCTCCAACTCTAATTGCATGTCGATCTTCTGTGTTATATAAGAAACATCTTAATGCTTTCGTCTCTGAGACAGAAGCTTAAGGACCAGATATGCGGTAGACAGTAAGAGGTTAAATGTCCTCATACTGAAATATCTGATGAGAAAATGTCATATAGATAGTGATTGAAGTCATGTCTTATAATTAATTACAAATACATTTGCAATTAATACGGCATTTGACCTTGATGGCAATCAAGTGATGCGACTTAAAAAAAATTCTACTGCCCTAAGACTGCAAGAAAATCGAATACACTAGTTAAAAAGTATTTAATGTGTTATAAATGGTCTATCCATGGGAATGAAAGAAAAAAAACGACATTGAAAGAGTGTTATACCCCTAAAATTAGCCGTACAAGTAAGATACGAGTAGTTCAGGGTCATTCTAGAAGGTTCCGGAGATAGTAAGGGGGAAAGGGTAGTTTGGGCTAAAGATTATGTTTGGCTGTTGTGAAGGAGTTTAAATAAGAAAGGGAAGGCCTAGTGAGGGCCTGAGGGTATCTAATTTCTTGGTTATTCTGTGGGCTAAAGCCTGGGAGAGCGTCTGGCCTATCGAAAGCCAGTTCACCATTGTATTTCGAATTCTGTCTTTGTTATTCAATGCAATCAATTGAGTAGAAGAGTATCTTTGAGAAATTCTAGCCGATTTGTATCAATTGGTATCACTTGGCCTCTCGAAAGCCGAGAAACGTCTTTGTTCACTCGATATCTTTTGTAACCTTCTGATTCATAGAATTCTTATAGAAATTACACGTGTTTCACTAAGATTTCGAATAGTGGTCCCGAATTCAAGTTGATTCTATTTTGCCTCTTCCTCAGAGAAAGACCATCAAACAATTCCTAATCATGGTCCTTGCGGATCGGATCATCCCTATAATATACAAAGAAAAACTCCAGATATTTGAGATCTTTCTCTTTGAATAAGATCTCAATTCCAGCGACGGTTTCATTAGATATCTTACAACTAGAATCCCTCTTTTTTCCGATCCAGTCCCTCCACCACCGCGAACCCCAGTTAGATTCAGGCATGCTACACTTTTTAGTTATTGGGAGAACCCAAGTACTCTCTTTCGGATTCAGGAAAGAACTCTCATAGATTTTTTTTCCTTTTGGAAGATACAGGAGCGAAACAATCAACCTATTGATATTGGAAGACCCAACGGATTCTTCGATCGTGGAAGTGTGTATCAAAGAGTTATAAATGGTGCATTCAAATCAATTTGGATGAAGATAAATAAACATAAACGTATTTGAAGTTGCCAAGTGTACTTACAAATGAATCATCTGTGCATCATGGTCATCAAAATTCTTTATATACCAGCGAGGTGATGACTTCTGTAAAAATAAAATCATGGAAATTAAAATATCTAGACAATATCATGCTGTAAAATTTCTCAATTGGACATAAAATATTGCAAAAGTGAATGAGGATCCTCAGATGTTCAGTAGATCATCTTAACTTTGACACTAATTCATCATTAATTTGACTATACGTAGGTCACAGTAAAAGAAACACAAAACACAGAAAGTACCCGGTGTATGCATATATTACTGTGAGTAACAAGAGAAGCGGCCTGTAACTCCATATGTCCAGCCCATGTGCCGTCCTTTCCCATGGATTGACAGTACTCATCAAACGGTACATCATCTTCAATAAAAGGCTCAAAGTTTTCACGATTTTTCTGTAAAGCAATTGTTCAATAGTTGGCATACTGAAAAGTAAGCATATCCGTAGTTAACATCATGGCATAGCAAACCAGATTTGATTGAATACTAAAAACTTGTATATTCTTCCAGAAAAGCAAACAAGAGTCCTAAAACGGTATTATAGCAACCACCAATGCACAAATCTCCCACCATGACAGGGGCAGGAGAATGGTATATTACGCAGTTCTTTTGCAGACAGAGAGGATACTTCCATGATTTGGAGACACTAATATCCCAGTGAAGTGAGGCTCATTAATTACTCAATCGAGCAGCATTACAGCCATGAAAGGCATGATAATATGACCATGCAGGATGCAACAAAAAGAACCCTCCCTCCATATGAAGTATTTGAGCTATGGTTTAATTGGAAACCTGCTGAACCTTGGACAAGATAATTGTGCAAAACTAGTCCTCTCACTTGGTTCCCCAGAAGGTTATGTGCTTGTGGTTGCATTGCACAGACGATGAACGAGTGTATGTTTGTGGTTACAAATCCACCTAGTACACTAGGCTGCACAGCGGACTCCTCTTTTCAGTAAGTACATGCTTCTAAATAGCCATGAAGTCTTCCCCTCACTGCCTATCCCCTTCTCAACGAGTAAGATAATGGAAGTAGCTCCGCTCCCTTCTTCCTAAGGATACTCGATGTCCAATCTGTAGGTCTTTAATGGAGTGCGAACTAGGGGGTCATGGAAGAGTTAGAAAGTTTTTTATGATACTAGGAGTGCAAATTTTGGATCAGTTGCTACTATTAACAGCTTGAGAAAAAGCGACAACATAAGTTTATTGTTGTCACATTAATAAAAAAAGTAGTAGCCAATGACTCTATTTCCCATTATAAGATCCTAGAATAAGATGTTCTCAAAAGTTGGATTCAATTGGAATATTTCTTATTGTTGGTGGATGCCATTTAATTGTCAAGAAAAAAATGAAAGAGTAGGAGAAGAAGAATGGTAATAGAAAAGAATTATCATCCCTTTTTGGCTCTGATAGCGTATTTTGATTGAAAAATCGAGAAGATCCTTGTAGGTATATCCCAAGCCAGATTTGAGATGCATGATTTGTTTCTCTCTAACTAGGCTTGGCAGGAAAAGATGACTAGCTGAATCTTTGAATTGTTTAATCGATATATGGATGTAGGATATGGTCACTGAGTGACTATGTTTCAGCTCATGTCTTTCACATCTGCATTTTGCGCATGATCGAGGTTTCATCTTAAGCATTTGAATTAATGTAATTGTTGTAAAAAATACTCGATCACCAAATGGGCATATGAACTAAATAAATTCTACACAAGACATGAATACAATACTTTTATGATACCATGATATAATGCACCACCATCTTCCGGTACGCCTCATGCTTGTCCTCGTCACCCTCCAACTGATCTGCCAAAGCTCTGACAATATATTACAGTGTTCTGTCAATAGCAGAGAGTTTATACTTGGGAACTTCAAAAAAACAAGAAGCTCATGTACAAATTTTAGCCACTTCATGAAAATTTCGGTTTTCCAGTTGACCACGGTTACATATATGTGTTTATATGAAACAAATAATCTATATTGCCCAAATGGGCTTCTCTTACTTTGTACAAACCTGAAAAAGCAATTCCCGTCAGCAGTTACTTCTATTACTTTTAAACCCAATGCATCAAGCTGAGCTCTAAATTCTGAAATGTCAGATTGCTTCCCGTTCTTTTTAGTCTGTCAATCCAACAGAACAAAAGATTATAAGACGGGTAATTCATAAGCAAAAAATTCATTAAGAACACGAGAATCTGACGTCACCAACATTACAAATGGCTGTAAGCCTCAGCTTCAAAACTACAGTTACATTTCGATCCTCCTGACATTCGAATATTTCAGTATTTAAATCATAGAAAAAGATATGCATTAGAGTTACTTATCTAGACGCTTATCATAGTCAATAAGGTAGTCAACAAAGTGATTTTAACAACAAAACAGTACTTATGATGCTTGAATTTCTACATGAGTCAATTTAATCTAGAACTTCAAATAACATAAATTACGAAACAAATTTGCTACAATCACAAAAACAAATTAGTATCAGAATAAAATTATGCTTGATACTTGAATATAAAAGTACGAAAACTAAATCAGATCGTGCAATAAACAGATAATTTCACGAAAACTCAAACAAATATAACAGTTGATAAACTTACATTGGGTTGCTTATTCGGTTTCGATTTCTTGATCTTTGTTTTTACCATTATTTCTCGAAATCGTTCGTCCTTCTGATGCAAATATTTCCGACTTCTTGTATCGGAACGTTTCAGATGGAAGAATTGGTACCGCTGGGGAAGAAGACGGTGCTTGTGCTCCCCACTCGGCAGGGCGGTTCTCGTGATCAGAGACTAGTAACGCTTCCTTTTGGGCTGGCCGTAAGATTATATAGGCCCATTAATGGTTCGGGTCGGCCCAATATTAGCTTGGACCGCCCGTTTGGACTTTTCGAAACCAAATCGTTTAATTGGGTAACCCGTTTGAGACATATGAAAGTGAAACTAATTATTTGGGCCGACTATTAATCATCTCCCCCCACCCCCTTGGTCCTAGTCATGGTTAGGAGCTCAACAATCCGATCAACCCAACCCAACCCAATCCAACATGAAATAATTCAATCTCAAGCAACCCGATGTCTAATTTCTATGTACTGAGTTGGAATTGGGTTACGGTCATATAAACTCAACCTAACCTGATGAACATGATACCTTACTATTTGTTAAATTTAATTTGATTGTTAAGTCTCTATTAATATGTACATTAGACAATTACGTTATTACGTACCCTCTTAATATGCATATATTTTCAATCTTTTTTCCATTTTTATATAACTCCTTTGAATATATGTTCAGTAAATGTGGATATATATATATATATATATATATATATATATATATATATATATATA